TCTATCGATCGATATATATCGTTATTGAATTATCGCCCAGCCCTATATTATATTATAGATATATTTTCCAAAAGCAATACTTAAAATACTCAAGGGACTAAAGGGGACTGTTGTGATGCTGTCCAAGGTGCTGAAGTACTGAGGATTTAAAACCGCTATTCTACTTCCTAATTTCCTGCGATTCTTCTACTACTTTGCTGTACTTTGAGTCTCTGCACCGTGTTTTGCGGAGTATGAGTCTCACTTTTTATATTTTTTGGCTGGGGGTACGACCTATACCCCACAGTGACTTATAAATGAAAAATATATAATTAGATTCTCAGTTAATTTAAAGTAAGAAAACTTATATTAAACAAAATTTTACGTGACTGAGTCACTCCATGTTTTTAAAAGGCCAATGGAAACAGAAATGCAATGCGTCATGGGCACTGCAGTTTGGCGGCCGCCCTATAGGTCACGCCTGTCACATATAAAGTCTGGACATATAACATATTTCTGACATATGTCACAATCTCAAACAATTTTTTGTAGAAAAACTGGACAGTCTTTTTCAGTTTTCCCAGAACTGTTAATAAGCCTCTGTAAACTGCTTGCGAAGCTTCAGAAGAACTTTATGCTTCTCTTCTGCAGACATTTCAACTGTGACTACGAGAACTTCAGATTCATTGTCTATGAAGCTTGCATTCTTCTCTCTAATGTCCACACAGTAATGTCCTGAACTAGTGAGCTCAAGTGGGGTGTTATGTTTAAACATGACAACTTTCATTTTCCATGTCTAAAACAGTTATTGCTCTTTTCAGGGACATTTTGCTTAACAATAAGGAGATATCAACAGAAACTATTTCGGTTTCAATTTGACATTTTGCTTCTTCAATCTTAGCTGGAAGCTTCAATTTTCTGAGCCATCTGACCATCTCTAAATCTAAAAGGTCTGCAACTTTGAGATTCTGTTTGGAGTAGCTGGTCGATTTGACATTGGCTCAGGTTTTTCATGTAGCTATTCAGCCACTTTTCCCCACAGACTGTACGTGTGCATGCAGTATCAATGATAGCTAATCCCAGTGATGACTTCGTCAAGTCAGAAAATTTTCTGAGTCTGACATTACTTTTGTAAACAATGTAATTATATATTCCTCCACACTTTTTAATCCTCTGTCAACTTTACTTCATTTTCCCGGTTTAGTACATGCTCTGACAGATGGCACAGCGTTTTCGTCTACCATAGTTGTCGAGCAAAGTGTTACCTTGCTGCGGCTGCCGCTGTCCGCTCTGTGACGGGCCGTTGCTCCGTCTGAAACTGCCCGCCGGTCCTTGCTCCATAAAATATGTCATCCTGACTTTCGTTATTGCTCGCATGGCTGTTTTTTCTCCCTCCAAAAATCTGCTTCAGTCCAGACTTCATAGATGCAAATGACAAATCTGTGCACAACATGAGGGCCAGGTTTCTACTCTTATCAAGACAAGCCGTCTCCAAGAGTTGGTACTTTTTGGAAACAAAACTTGAAATACCCCCCCACCCCCCCGGAGAGGTTAACACTACTGCTCTTTAGAGGTAAACAAGTAAATCAACATGACAACACCCCTAACATTCAGGAAGTTTGCGGAGAGTCAGGCAAAGAAGGCAGCCTTTGGTGAATTTACTTGTCAGAGTCAGCTTTTGGGAAATAGATACAACAAACAATAGTCTAATCAGGGCTTACAGAAGCAGGAAACAATGACAGACATTGAGGTTGATCACACTGCTAAGCAGAATAATTGCTGAAAATCATGTGGCAAGGTAGGGAAGCTTGTATTTTTATAAATGTCTGAAATTTTATGATTACGGAGGCTGGCTGTAAGGAGATGACGCGGTCTGCTCATGCGCTTTTTGTTATCTGAACTGAGCCAGAACTGAACCGTGCCGAGCCCTATTCATTAACTAGTACCATGTTAGCGTGGTCTGGTTGTGTCTGGTGCGGTCCAGTTCAGTTATGCATGCCATTTACACCCAACACATTTCTTGGCACAGTCCCAAAAGGGTAGTGTAAATTGGGCTATTATGTTGGACTTTGTAATGAACTCGGTTAACTGACCATTTGGATAGAGGATCACTACTTGTTGCTCCCCGTTGGTCACGTGACTCTGCCTCCCCAAACAATTTCAGCACCATCTTTATTTGTCGCCGCTGTTGGTAGCTGTCTTCACAAACCATTATGGGATATATCTGCTCGTCTAGTGACCAGGGAAATTTTACGTTCACTATACTTTTTCATCCACTAGATGTTCGAACTCTCATTTGAAATGTCGTTACCACTATATAGTATCCTATATAGTGATTAGGGCATAGCCTATGTTTTGGCTTTCACATTTTTAACACCCTAAGTGACATGGTTGTTGTAATGACATCTGTTGCAGAACCACATTTGTGTATTTTGTCAACTAAATCCTTGAAACTCAAGGTGGCACTGTTGCTTCAGTGAACTTCTCATGCAAAGACTGTATACTTGAATGTACCTGTGACCTATATTCTGGTGCAATTTACCTTTGGTGTGTTTTTATTTTATAATGGATATAGATGCTGGTGTGACTTAAACAATGGAAAATAAAGTATATGGAGAAGATTAGTAGACCAACTATGCATTGAAATTCATAAACACTGTATGACCTCTAAAGGATTATGCATAACTGTTTTATTTTTATGTTATCTTGACAGAAATCTCATGATGAGCAAAGCCGATTTGAAAGGGAACGAATTACTCAGGCCAAACTCATCATGAAACCCTTTATCCTACGACGGGTCAAAACTGAGGTGAGTTGATCAGAGGGAATGATTGGTATTAGTTATTTTAGAATTTGGCTCGCTATTAAGCTGTTTTTAGAAGGTGGTTACTAATTCCAGCCATTAAATTAGTTCTTATTGTAATTAAACAGATACTCACACCAGACACGAATAACATTGCTGAAAATGCTAAAGGTCACACACTTTAGGAAGCAAAGATTAAAACAGGGGAAATAAGAAAATGGGCATATTTTGAAACTGATGTCCTCATTGCATATCCATTTGGGTTTAGAAAAGAATAGAATAGAAAATCCCTTTATTAAGGAAGAAGATGGTTGTCCCAAATTACATCCACTTTGATCATCTCTTTTCCAAAGCTGTGAAGGCAACCAGCCCACACCTCACCCTCCTCACTTGTTTCCCAAACTATCCTTGGACCTTCCCTTGACTTGCATTCATTTCCCACCCATTTCTATGGCCTACCTGTTACCCTAAGTATTACTAACACATGCTAACCTTAAACATAAAACCAGTTCATACCTTGGTCCTGAACGTGTCCTCCACCCCAAAAAATAAAGCTTTCCTCCCCACAAATACCTAATTCCCCAAAATGTAGAATATTCCTGCGAAATTGTCCCCAAAAGGTAGCAAAAACATGGCCATCCCTCCTAGGATAGATCACCCCTTCTAACAATAAAATAAACCACTAACAGGTTTCAGACTTTTTCAGCACTGCTGCACTTTATACTATATCAAGTTCTATCAATCTACTGTTTTCTGAAGATATTTTGAATATCGTTTGTTTTGTTTCTGTTTCTTTGTCTTCTGTGTATTTATTTTATTTCTTAAATGTTTTCTTTTTCATTTTTGAGTGATGCTCACTTTTGAGATTTCTAAAAATGTTTTTAACTCGTTTCTGAATATTGGTGTCCAAGATTTCATTATGGTTGCATAACAGCCCTTGATTTGGGATTTAATGATCAGGAAAAAAGATCTGATGGTCAAAGCAGAGAAGACCAAACTACTCTATCGTGATCACTGGCTGATTAGTGATGCAACTCTTTTAGGTAAAAATGGAAAGAAAATCTCAGCTGCTCCTAAACATAAGATTAATGAGACATTTATGTAGTGTTGTTTTCCTATTGAAGGATTTTTTTTTTTTTTATTACCCATAGATTTTTGAGAAGGTATATTCCTTAAAACACATGGTTCTGTTTCTGTATTCAGGTGCTCAAGCAGCTGCCAGCCAAAGAAGAGAAGATTGAGTTTTGCTCAATGAGTGAGAAACAGCAGACTCTCTATGAGGCCCTCTTTAAAAAACTAAAGAATACTACTAATGGAGAGAGTAAGTCTCATTCAGACAGCTTACTCCTTTGAGTTTATCATGGCATTTTATGTAGCTACATTGCAAACATCTGTTTTTTATTCATGTCTTCAGAGCGTGAGCTGTGCAATGTTATGATGCAATTGAGGAAGATGGCCAACCATCCTCTTCTTCACAGACAGTACTACACCACAGAAAAGCTTCAGGCTATGAGCCAACTTATGCTCAAGGTCTGTCCTGAGATTTTTGACTTGTTTTCACCTTTGATATCTGTTGTTAAGCCAAATATGTAAACCTCAGTTATTTTGGTGCTCAATTTTTGTCTGAGGTGTAAACTACCTGTTGCTTATCAATGTGATGTTTGTAAGTATTTATTCTTGTATTTAATTCCTTTTTTTTCCTCCTCTCATTATTTTCTTTCTTATTCCTCTTGCCGTGTGTCAGGAGCCAACCCACCACGATGCCGTCCCCGCTCTTATCCAGGAAGACATGGAAGTCATGTCAGACTTTGAGCTCCATCGTCTTTGTCAGCAATACTCATCCATCAGCTCTTTCCAGCTTGACAACAGCCTTCTACTTGACTCAGGGAAGTTCCACCACCTAAAAGAGCTGCTGGTATCCCTAAAAAAACAGGTCACTAAGATGCGCTGAATACTTTATTTGGTGTAATTCCAAGAATCTATAATCTTGATTTACACCAACAAAAGGTTAAAACTTTACTCTCATTATACAGGGAGACAGAGTGGTGTTATTCAGTCAGTTTACCATGATGCTAGACATCCTGGAAGTGTTCCTCAAACATCATCATCATCGCTATGTCAGGCTGGATGGATCCACTCCCATCGCTGACAGGTCAGGATTGTTCATGTTTACATTATTATAACTTAAGTAAGTTATTAAGCAAAACATCTCTATCTTGATGTTTGGCACTGTGACTGACAGGTTATCCATTTATCATTTATAATGCGTATACTGTTTGATGTAAGCACAAGAGCAACAATAGAGCAGCCTTCATACCGGTTGAAACGATGACCCCTAGCAAAACTTTAGATCAAAGGTGAACTTTTTTTTTTTTTTTTACATTTTACATTTTACATCATGTTCTACTCACCCATATGAGTTTTGTGTCATTTGGAGCTGTTCTGAAGATATTCCGTTTTGTTATGTCCAGGTAATGTCTTCCTATGGGCAACGAGTTGAAGGCACAAACTGAACTGTTCATAATTGATCATTTATGGTACGCTAGCATTCATAACATGTAGGCGAATCACTGTCCCCCAGACATGCGCAGTTATATTTTTTATATTTATATATTTTAAAAACAAAGTGGCGCGTGTATGACGTCATCCATGCTCCGGACTGGAGTTGTAATAGGCAGCCCGGGCCACAGGCGGCTACGGTCTGCTCCATATATTTATTCGGCTAGCTAATCTGAATCGTTCAATTCCATTTTGAGAGCGAGATCATCTCTGGTAGTAGCACTAGACATCTTCCAGGCATGTGAGTAAAACTAGCAGCAGTTCAGTGGACAGAATGAATGAACAGTAGCTGGCACGCGCGGATGATGTCATACACGCACCACTTTGTTTTTAAAACATATAAATATAAAAAATATAATTGCAGATGTCTGGGGGACAGTGATTCGCCTACATGTTATGAATTCTGGCGTACCATAAATGATAAATCACAAGCAGTTCAGTTTGTGCTTTCAAGTCGTTACCCATAGGAAGACGTTAATTGGATGTAACCTAACGGAATATCTTCAGAACAGCTCCAAATGACACTAAACTTATATGGGTAAGTAAAACATGATGTAATAACATAAAATCAAGGGCCCAATGTAAAAAAAAAAAAAAACGAAGTTCCCCTTTAAAGTTTATGTAATGAGGTCACATTTGCAATGTTATTGAACCCTTTTGTTAAATCAATACCTGTATTTAGGCTATTTCTCTAGATGCTAAAGTTTTATAAAACTGATGTCAAACAGACAGAATTATACAATGGTGGTGATTTCTCTCCTGCAGGATTGTTTTGATTGATGAGTACAACACAGACCCTGACATATTCGTGTTCTTGTTATCAACTCGTGCCGGAGGGCTGGGCATCAACCTCACCTCTGCTAATGTTGTCATCCTGCATGATATTGACTTCAACCCCTACAACGACAAACAGGCAGAGGACAGATGCCACCGCGTCGGCCAGACCAGGTTAGAATGGCTGGCAGCAGCTGGACAGAAAGCATTTTTCCTTTTTAATAATATTTTACCTAAAGTCAACAGTTACTGACATTCAAAGAAAAACATCTTCAGTTGGTGTTGTATTTCTCTGTGATTGGCAGGACTGTACAGGTGATAAAGCTGATCAGTAAGGACAGCATAGAGGACTGCATCCTGCAGCTCGGTCACAAGAAGCTGAAGCTAGAACAAGACATGACGACTGCTGACCAAGGTAAGAGAATGTGTACAGGTGTTTAATATATTAGTCGACTTGTTTGTGCAATACTGCATAAAGCAATAAAAGCGACTATGTTTCACTTTGCATCCTAGAGCAACCAAGACAGCACCTGTATAATTACACAAGACAGTTTGACATCAGTTTTATCCCTGTAACAATTTATTTCCAATGCTTATTTGTGAACTAAAAAGATATTTGTCAAAATGGTTAGTAGCAGACTGATATGCTGATGATTTAATTAAAGATTGATGGGGAAAACTCCATATTTATTATTAAATGGGTTAATGGTGTGCTAATCAATTGTTCTACAGATGGTGAAGGGACCGTACCTGAAGATATGGCAACTTTGCTCAAAGCCTCTCTGGGACTGTGAAACACAAACACATCAACCTTGAAACTTGACTGAACTGAAAGGCTTAAGATTTTTGGCAGTTTGATGCAAACAATATGCTGCCATTAAATGAGCCCTGCAGCCTGGTAACTGTGCCTAAAACACCATTTTTACCTGCAGTCTTTTCCATGTTTTAACAGCCTTTTGATTACAAAGCACTGTATGCGTTACCTATTTAAGCAAGCCAAGCAAAACTTGCAGTTCTTCAGTTTGACATAAGCCCGTCATTATTCATTCAAAAAAGATCATTTTGCACCTTTTTTGACCAAAACTGTTAAATATTGAAACATTAACTAAAAATTACCATCAACTGTTAAGATTCCCCCCCTTTTTTTCTGAGCGGTAAATGCTTGAGCAAGCTGGATGTTTTAATAAGTTTTAATAAGCTTTTTTAAGCATGCTGCTCGTACTTTAAGTATTTTCAGCCAGGAAACACTTATGCTTTCACAAGGCAGCTGTCTGTGTACTGTATTAGGGGCCAATGTGTTGTAAGTGTACACTTGTTACTGTACAAATCATTTCCTAAACTGTTTGTATGTTTCCAGGTTCGTGTTTGAACATATGATACATTTTCAAATAAATATTTGTCCTTCTATCGAGTTTGTCTTGTATGTAAACATTTCACTTCAATTGGCTAATGTAGTCTTAGCTTAATTTTCATCCTTTAAGCATTTGGAGCTTTGATCTGAAGAAGTTGACTTTGACTACTGTATTTTGTGCACTTTAAGATAAGTTTAACTTAAATGGATTAATAAGGAATTGGAGGTAGCAAGATGACCTTTACCTTAATAGTCCAGTGTATGTGTATAGTGCAAAAAATACCATATATGCATAAACAGTCTCATCAATTTTGCTGCGACGGATGAAGGAACAAAGGTTAAAAACATAAGCAAAATCATTGATAGTTCATTACTTGTGTTTTTTTTGTTGTTGCCATTTTCAATTCAGAATGCCATGCAGTAGTGAGGTACTGGTCAATTGGATGAATAAAAATGCAGGAAATTGTTCTGATTCAAGGTTTAACAGAAACATTTTTTTCTTTTACATTTTGTCGAAGTTGATAAAACAACTGAAATGCGTTATTTCATTTCCAGTTTACACAAAGATAAAATAATAAAATGGATACACAAATCTTTTCTACCTACGGTAATAGATTTATTTTCTTTAAGTCTATCTAGGTATTTAATCTGGTGAGATATAATGACTGAAGGTTTCTAAAAAACATGCCAAGGATGTATAAAACATGACTTGATTCCATTCATAATTGTCTTAATGCACAGATGCAGAATTTGGGGCATATTGTTTACTCTTTAATCCTGTCAAGTAGGGATTACAAGTACCGTAATAGTGCTGCTGTAATAGAGTTCCATGATTCAGAGTACAGCTTCAAGAGTGATTTCCTTTAGAAGTACTGTCCAAACATATCCCTAATAGGTCGGGGTTTGCTCGTCATCCCAGACTTCCAGTTTTAGTCGCTCACTTACTCTACAAAACAAAAATCAAGTGGTCAATTTTTTTTGTAGTTTGAATCCCGCATGGAACATATGTATCATGGGCTTTTGATATCATCCAGTGTTGGTCTGGGGGCAAGACCATTAAGGCTGGGATCCTACCTGATAATATGAGAGTGAATAAACATGGAACCATACCATCTCCAATGTTGCCCACTAATTAAGAAATGTCTGCGCCAAATATTGAGGAAACAGGACACTGCTGACAAGTGGGCTACTGGAACAAGAAGACAATGGACATGGGAACATAGTGAGATACTAACCCTGATCAATGTGGGTATATGAAAAGACTGGAAACTATATTCCCTCAGGTCAGCTGATCAGTTGCTTCTGAGAGTCCCAAAGACAAAATTCAAGCTCAGGGGGACCGTGCTTTTTCTGTGGCAGCTCCTAAGCTATGGAATGATCTGCCTCTGAGCATAAGACAGGCCTCTTCTCTTGCTATTTTTAAGTCCCTTCTTAAGACTCATCTTTTTTCCTTGGATTTTGGCACAATTTGAGAGGTTTTATTCTGTTTGTATACTAATAAGTATTTTACACTCGTTTTTTTTCTATTTTATAATTTTATTGTATTTTATGATTGTGTACGGCACTTTGGTCCTGTCTGATGCATAAAGTGCTTCATAAATAAAGTTGGTATGGTATAGACCAGTGTTTTTCATTCCTGGTCCTCAAGGCACCCTGCTCTGCATGTTTTGGATGTTTCTGAGGTTCAGCACACCTGATTCAGATGATTGCAGTTCAGCAAAGCCTGATAATCTGCTATCAATGGATAACAGGTGTGTGAAAGCTGGGAAACATCTAAAACATTCAGGGCAGGGTGCCTTGATGACCAGGATTGAAAAACTATGGTATAGACTTTGATAACATTCTGAACTAACAGCTAAATACCTTGTTTCTAAGTGTTCCAAAATTCTCGGAGCAGCAGCTGATTTCACAGTTTGATAACCAAGACACAAGGTCAGATGAAGACACCATTATGTGAATACAGCAATAAGTAAAAAATATTCAGAACTAGGGCTGGGCGATACGACCTCAAATCAATATTACCTCAAATTCGGCAGTTGTACCTCGATCGCGATAAATGCTCCGGCTCTTCTCAGTGATAATGGCATGTGCAGAAAATGAAACTGATTCATTTTCCAGCTTTGGAGCTGGAATTACACTGTCACAAAAAAAGAGCAACAAAGTGAACTCTCTGCATTTACCCCATCTCCTTGGGGAGCAGTGGGCAGCCATTGTGCAGCGCTCGGGGAGCAGTGTGGGCTTAAGGGTCTTTGCTCACGGAGCCAGACTGGTAGTTTTTGGGGGTGGGGCTTGAATTCCAAGCACAATGCCCTAACCACTAGGCCACCACTCCCTGCCATTTATAATTTATTTACTGAATAAATTGCATTATATATGAATTTCAATCAAATATTAAGTCTTGTACCCATATAAGTTTAAAGATTCAACAAAGTCTCATGGAACAGGAGAACAATTTTACCTCTCTTGCCAACATTTTTGCGCAAATGTAATGAAGCCTTTTATACACCTTTGAACTCAAAAGTGCTGTTGTGCTTTAGGTGGTGGAAGAGGTTGGATATGTTACTTTGCGTTTTCCCCGCAGTTTTCAGACAAATTTTGCATTTCGTGTGCTGTTGCTCAACATCTATGAGGTAATTATGGTCTCACCGGACTGGGCATGCAGTGAGAACAATGTGCATTGTTTAAACTCCCACGTCCTCACTCAGGGGCGTCGTATAGGGGGTAAAAGTCAATATCAATGTCTTTCATGGGGCTCCAAATTCCTGGAGGCACCCCTGCCCTCACTCAAAACCGGTCGGCCGCATGCTCAACTCTGACAGCGCTCTCTTGACTTCTTCTCTGCACGCTCAGCATCATCTCTGCTCTCGCTCATCTCCATAGTATTAACAGATTTAATTTTTTTTTTACAGCTGTTAGACGTTTCTTCACTGGGCACATCTGCCATTCTCTTTGTTTATGCTTCTGACTGGATCAGAGAAGTTACGTGATTCCCCACATGCTGCAGTGTCTGAAAGGGGAAGGAAATACCAGCCACCAGCGCACAGCCTGTGTATACAAAACCTCAATAAATGTTGTCTAAGTCATTTCATACATCCATCTATACTAAAGGATTATGAATAGATGAAAGGCATATTGGTATTATAACAGGAATTTAATAAGAATACAACTGATACCTACAGCCTTTTACATCTTGTTCTTGTTTTGCAGGCACCTATAATGAGCTCAGTGGAAAAGCCCTAGAATATGCTACCATCTGCATAAGTGAAATTACTATATATATAATATGCAGTTTAGAAGAACTCTGTCAAAAAGGAAAAAAAAATGCCCAGTGCAGATTTGAAGATACAGTAGCATGTTTTTTATTCAGCATGTGGAGAGTATCTACCACACCTGAATCCTGTCAAATGTGCATCGCAGCTGACGGCGTAGGTAAAATAGAGAACACCTTTTCGGAGCTGACAGCTCAAAGAATGGGTTCCTTTCTCAGGATAGATGATACATATCCCTGCTCTGTCATTGTAAAGCACATCCCTATCCCAGACTTCGAACCTCATCTCCTGACCCAGTTCCACTGAGCCAAAATCATAAGTGGCGTTCCAAACTGGGTCGTTGTTGTCCATCACAGTCTCGGTCTCTTCATACATGCCGGTGTAAAATATTTTTACGTATGCGTCTGTTTTTGTGAAGGTGTCAGCCCTCAGACCTGCAGCTCTATGGATTTCCAGCCTTAGAGTTCCTCTTCCGGCTCGTAAAGGACAACAATTGTGATCCAAGTTGGGAGCTGGGGAGCAGTTCTTCTGGCCGAGCTGCTCCATTTCCAGCTGGTTCTCTTTTATGTACTCTGTGACCATGCTTCTTAGGTTTTCACTGATCTCACTGTCCTCCACCAAATGATGCAGGGGGAAGATGGCATAGGAAACTACATCAGGGTTGTTGTGAAGGCTGTTTATCCAGCTGTGGTATGACTCTGAGGGGTCTTGTTGGTAAAGAATGTCAGGAAAATACCTCTCCCCTCCGATTACCTCAATCTTATGAGTCATGAAGCCCTGGTAAAAGCCCATGCTCATGTTCCCTTTCAAAAGGTTGTCACACTTGTTAGAGAAAGATGCATTGCCAGGTAGAAAACCCAGAGCCATACGGAGTTCGAGATTCAGGCAGTTTTTGATTTCTGACTCTGAAAAGCCCTTTAGTGTAGCCAGACAAGTCCTGAAAGCAGTAATACGCCTCACTTTACCCCCAAGCTGCACCTAGAAACAAGAGAACAGAAACTGACCGTTCAGCAGTATATTTAGCTTTTACTTTAACACGGAATTATAAATGCAATCAAAACATGTGTAAAATTTGTGCAAAAATGAAAAAGCCTGGAAACCTGGTGTATGTAATGTGTTCCATAGGTGTCTATGAGGCGTCTGTACAGAGCTTTGTTCTGGGATGTGCTTAAACTCTGTGGGAGTCTCTTCAGATGCTTTGTGAACTCTGAGCTCAGCTGGGGATGGTCAGCCAGCCTGTAGCTGTAAAAACAGAAGGCATGCAGCGTTCAACTGTAACACAGTAACAAACTGAATATTCACCTATTTGCTGCAATGATCAGCTGCAGAAAAAGAGCCTATCAGTAAACATTGTAACTTCTTGTCTTGCCAAGCTTGAGACCTTCAGTCACAGCATTGACACATAGTCTATTTTGAAAGTAAAATTTTGTGTATAAACAATTTGTGATGGGGTTGTTTTCATATAATTCTGTGAAAGGAATTTTTATTCAACTTAAAGTGTTATTTTAACTAGCTATAAAGTTATTCTTTTTATATTATGCTGTACTGCAGTGAAAAGTTTGCAGAATGGGTAGTTTATCATTGGTTGAGGTGGGTAGTAAGTAGTTAGATTTACTTGAGTCACCTTATTAAAAATGTTTTTGAGGGATAGTTTTAATCCAGGCATCAATGTTTTCACTGAATTAAGGATTAAAGTGGGTTCATACAAACAAAAATACCCTAATCCTGGAGTATAAGGCAAGGCAAGTTTATTTATGTAGCACATTTTAGTGACAAGTTTCAATATTGATTTAATGCACTTTAATATGGAGGACCAGCTCTACCATATTAAGAAATAAATATAGAAATAAATGAATACTCAGTAAATACAATTAATTGCCCCAAAAGTACAATAATCAAATAAATGTAGATACATTTTAATACATTTAAATTTTTGAAACTTAAAATGTATTTAAGGCTGCTTACAAACAGGCATTTTGATAACTTTGCTAGGTTTGTATTACAGCATGCATTCAGTGCAATTCCCTGTGGACTCTATGTTATGCCACTTGTCATGTGGATGTAGAAAAAAAAAAAAAAGAAAATAAGTCGAGAAATTAAGATTTACAAAAGTGAATATGATTAAGCCACATGTTTTAATAATTTAGAGGAATCTCCTAAGGCCATAAATATATCCTTAAAAATTATAGAAGTTTCCCAATAGGCTGACATAAATGTCTGACATTTTAGGTTCTGGAAAGCCTTTTTATTTATTAGATTTATAAACACAATACAGTGAAGTAAACCTGAATAACTAGTTTACCTGTAATAGGAGCAACTGATTTCATGAATGGCAAATGTAGCTTTGTCCACACTGTGCTGGGAGCGTGCAAACTTGGCCAAATCTGAGCGGCTTCCTCCTAGCACAGCCTGTCCGATTTTGTCTAGGCTCAAACCCAAACCCCAGTTGTTGTTAACCAGTGAGCTGGAACTACGCAGCAGGGAGTCTACAGAGTGGTGAAGTGCACTAGACAGCTGCTTACTGCAGCGGCTGAAGAGACGCCAGTCCAGGACTGCTGCAGGAAGCCTCTGAATCTAACCAAAGTTTAAAGATGAGGAATAAAAAATTAATTGGTTGGATTGAGGAAAACAATATAAAGTTTCAACTTAACTGAGGAGATTTTAAGAGGAAAGAAAACATAAATTCAAGAAGCAGGTTATACAGTTATCACCTGTCCATTCTGAAACCTGTTTGGACACAGTGTACAAGTGTGGTTGTCATCCAGATGAGCTTTGACGTTAATGACGTAAGCGCCTGTGCGACGCAGACGCACCACATCAAAACCTTCCCCTGCTAGGTTGTGGCCCGGGACAAATGGAGCCTTCTCACACTCTGATCCAGTGCCAATTCGACAGCTTAGAGCTCTATAAGCCTCCAATGTAACCGAAAGTGTCAGCACAGTCAGGAAAAAGTTTCTCTGCTGGTTTCCCCCTGCTTGCATGGTTACCTAAATGTGACGGGAACACAAAGAAGCCCAAGAAAAACTAATTTGCTTTTAAACACTGTTAAATACAATGTCTCAAATGTTTCTTTTTAGTTCTTTACATTTTGGTTTGTAATAATCTTCAGATCCTTAGTGATAATCCTTTAAAAGATTCCATCAAGGCTAAAACGCATGCACCTTTTACTTACTTGTTTTCTTTCTATTCCTTTAAATTCTTTCTTCTTAGCAGCAGCAAGAAAGTTGCGCCTTTCTTTTTTCGAACTTAACTACTTAGTCTGGTTCTGGTCTTTATGTTTTCCATCCATGGTACAGTTAGCTAAACAGTGCAGTGCAAAGAGACTGAAAACCTGTCGTCGTGTCTGCAGTGAGTTTTGGCAGGCTGTGCTGCAAGCTTGCTGTGTGCAGTCTTCACTCTTCCCTTTGCATATTGAAGAGGAGGGAGTTTTATTATGTTGGAGCTCTGCATTTGCTTGTCTCTCTACCCATCCTATTTTCTCATTCCTTCGCCTTCAGCATTACTAATTTCCTCTGCCTGAGTGGGTTTGTTTTTATGCTCAAGACTCAGTCCTGGAAATTCCAGCCAGCCTTGTACAGTGTTTCTTGGCACTTGGTTGTGTGGGGGAGGGAGAGTTTTTATGCTGTCACAAGAGAGGAGATGAATTTTGTTTTATTATCTCTGCCGTAAATGTTTGTCTTAGTGTTCAGGGGCTATTTTGTGTGTGTGTGTGTACACTGTATGTAGCTGTATGGCTGATGATCCTGTTTGTTTAAAATGTCTCCATTGTGGTCTTTGTGCACAGACAGCCTCACAACAAAACATGAAGCCAGGTTTGCTTTTGTCTATTTATGCTTGTCACTGGAATGTGTGTGGGTGTGTTGGTAAAGTCAAGGAGGATTAGCATTTATATATTCTGTGCCTAAGTTTTTATCACATACCTATTGTAGAAAAACCTTATAAATGCTATTATTGCTGGATATCAAATATGTATTCATGTAATAGCAATAAAAATTTGACAGCTGTTAATTACTGTTTCTTAAACAGAAATTTATTAAAAATCCTATAAATTTTATTGAGACATTGTGACTTTCTATTAGCATTTCCACTAATTATTTGAATTCCATATATTGTGTAAAGGCTCGTTTGTCACCACAATTTAACATTTTCCAAGGACTTGATTCAGTGCTATAATGCAGTTCACTGTGCACCTCTTATTCTCCACATGTAGTTATATTGCCAAGTAAACCATTAAATGCCTGATTATTTCCCTTATTTAATAGTCATATTTAAAATTTGTAGCACTGCTGCCTTGCAGCTAGAAGGTTCCGGGTTCGTTTCCCGGACCGGGGTCTTTCTGCATGGAATTTGCATGTTCTCACCGTGCATGTAGGGGTTCTCTCTGGGTACTCCGGCTTCATTCCACAGTCCAAAAACATGACTATTAAATGGCATCTCTAAATTGTCCTAAGGTGTGAGTGTGTGTGTGTGCTTGGTTGTATCTCTCTGTGTGTCTTTATGTTGCCCTCAACAGACTGGTGACCTGTCCAGGGTGTACCCCGCCTCTCACCTGTAGACTGCCATTAACATGGATGGATGGATGGATGGATTTATGTTGTTGATGTTTTGAATCTATAGCCAGCTCTAACCTGAAAAGGCTTTTCTCTATAATAGCTAATAGTGAGCTGTTATCTTGATGAATTAGACAGTGTCATTTGTTTTTACAGCTTATTAAAGTGATCAGTATGTTTCTGTAATAGCACCAAGTAGCTTCTTGTACATTTTATTGTTCAAGTGCAGGGTTTCAAACTGTTACATCAGATAGTAGCTGATTTTGTTTTTTTACGCATGTTTTTTTTCAAAATCCCTCACATGTTCTAACTAATCTGTTCCCATATGAGAGATCTGTCAAAATTGACTTTATATAGCAAATTGCTTGTTCTGCATGCTAGTAAATTTAATATTTGATTAATATTTCTAGCCTTTTTTTATGGCATAAACCTTAGCACTTTTCCACTACTAGTGTGATTTTCCATAGACTTACTTATGTCCCTGTATCTTTTGTTGTGTTGAGAGACGAAGAGGGCTTCCCCCTTTGCATCTTTGGATGCAAATGGAGCCAAATATGTTTATATTTGGCTCCATTTGCAGCTTGAAAAATCTGACCATTTCTGCAAGGTCAAAATAAAAGAAATGAGGACATAATATTTTTGGAGATTATTTTATTTCAATATGCTGCAGAACATGTTGGTCTCTATTTACTTTTATAGAGAACATTATTAGACAACTATCATTCCACAAAAATACAGAAAAATATTTTTATACACACCATAAACATGAAAAAGAATAAAACAATACAGAGTAACTTCAGGTATATAGCAGTAGTATATAAGCAAGAGAATGGTACATGTTTAAATTCATGGATTTTTAAAATAGGCTCAATTGTTCATAAAAAAAAAATATATATATATATATATTTATTTGTGCCAGATTTGGTATAAAGGCACATTTTTTTTCAAAAAAACAGTATAGAAATCTGTTATTGGATATATATCACAAACTTTTTTATAGAAAACATTGAGCTAATTCATAACCTAAGTGCTAGACTTGTTTGTAACTAAATCTGGGAAAACAATCTTTGACATCTCCATATCTGAAAACTCAATGCCCTCTCGTTTAGGGTGTTGCTTTAAGCCTCATCTTCCTGTGTCTCCTCCGAAACGTCCTCACGTATTTCTACGTAACCTCTGGAACTCCTTCCAGGGTTCTGCCTCTTTCTAATCAGGATCACAACTACTACCACAATGATCACCAATGCTAAACCTATCACTCCAAATACTAGTCCTACCTTTTCTCCACTTGACATCTGATTTGATCCTGGGTTGAATGTTCGAGCAAGGTTCTGGATTTCCTCTGGCTTCACAAGTCTCCATGCTTTAGTGGGGCCCACCCTGACCCAATTCTTCTCTCCTTCAGTCATCACCATCACTGTGTTTGTAACTTGCATGCTGACAAGTGGAGGTTTGGTAAATGGTGGAAGACGGATTGGTTGCAGCTCACCCCCTGTGAATAATCCAGACTGGACACAGTAAAGAATTTCACATCCATCGCTTACTGTAGCGAGGTGTTGGCTGAATTTGGGAGGGCATCTGTTTTGGTTTTTAGCCAGTGGATTACCAGACTGACAGCTGAAGAGCCCTCCGAATGGTACAGAGTATCTGGTACCAGTTTCATAATCATTACTTAAACAGATTATTTGGCCATCAGACAGAAACTTTACTGGGATGAAGTTTGGAGGACAGGTTTTGGACCTAGTGATGGGATTTAAAAAGGAGGGACCGTATATTCCTCCAAACAGATATCCAGAATAATCTGGAGCTAATCCATTCACAGAACACCAGTAGGTATCAATACGAGCTGAGCGAACACGATACACATCATTACAAACCTGCTTGGAACAATGAGACAACCATAACAATCCACATCGATAACTTTCTGTGTGGCATTCATATGAACTGTAACCCTGCTGTCTCATTTCTGATCGCAACAAAGTTGAATTGTAAGGTGAGCGGCAAGACATGTTACCTGTCCCTATGTTTTTTTGGGCTAGTGCATCACAAAGTACACCTGCTTCTTGGGTGAGTTTTGTACATTTTTGGTAGACCCCTCCAAAGCTGAGGTTGGTGGCTGGGCCCTCACAGGAATTATCATTAATATTGGCCTGAAAGTTGAAGTTCTTGGAGCTGATGTCAACGCAGCCAGGGCGGGTGTTGATCTTGTAGTAGCGTTCTATTGCTTTTATCACTCTACGAGCTACTTTGCCAACTGTAGGTTCTGGCAGATCAGGGAAAGTGTTTTTGTTTATGAAATTGCTAAGAGGAAATCCAAATCGGTCGATTGCAACTAAGTTATTTCTGGTACTTTCCTGCCACTTCTGCAGAGTGATCCCAGGATAGAATGGTATGCCCCCATGGCTTTTAATTAGCGAGTACTGAACATTGTTGTTGTACTGATATGTTTCTTGGGATGAGCTTTGATGGCTAGACTCACTGCTAATATCAAATTTCAGATCATCAAAAAATTTTAATGCAGCCTGTGATTTGATGTTTACATTGTCTGAAGTATTAACTGACACATATGAAAGACGAAGATAGTCTTCTTTCACCAGAGAAGCCCCAGCATCTACACTGGTGATAACGTGGGTTCCATAGTCCAGCACCATCTTCTCTGAGAGATAGTCTGCATTCCTTGTCTGATTGTTTTCAATTGCGTCTGCAATTTCTTTGACTTGCTGGGTAAAGCGAAAATCCAGTGTGAAGTCTGGGTAGGCTTTAACAGTGTAGATCAAATTGCGAACCTTTTGAAAGAAAGGAAAATAAATCATTTTTATGTTTTTGCACATTAAATTTCTGTCGTTTGAATAAATTAAAACATGCAACATACCTATCATAATTTCACAGTCCACATATAAAAAGCCACAACAAATACATAATGCAGCATTTCATAAAGGCCATAATTTTTTAATCAGCTAATTTTATATTAATCCATTAATAGTATTTTGTCCAGAAGAAAATGTACTGGCCTTATTTACAATTACTGGGTTATTCTATAAAATGGCTGTATGAAATATCATGAGATACAAAAGCATCTTGAAGTAGTACAAATTGAATGGCTATATTTAAGTCTTTTTTTTTTTTTTTTTACAAACTATAGCAAGCATAGAAACTATAGCAAAATCATTTTGGAGGAGTGTATTCATATCATCAAGTCTCATTAGGATCCTTTCCTCAATCCAAGTGTCAGGTATGAGCCTGTATTGGCTGATGTTTAAACACATATATATGTTTATCTATATGCATCTATATGTTTCTTTAGTAAAATTAAATACCATAATAAAGGAGAACTAACAGTATAATTTCCAAGAAAATTGTTACCTCTAATGGTAGTAATATTTAACTTATCAAGGAAAAAATAAACATAGGACCTGTGTGTGCATTTTAAGCTTAAACATATAATTGTAATGAATAAGAGGAAAAATCAAGCGTTCAGCCAAGGGTTAATTGCTAATCATTGCTAAGTCTAATGAGGAAAAAGCTGAAACCAAACTGATTATGCACAATAACTTATAAAACTACTGTACATCATTGCCAGTGAACACTAGATAATGATATGTTAGCTACTGAGAATACTGAGATCCAATTTTTTCATATTTCTATTGAAGGTTAACTATTCCCTATTTTTAGGGAATTTGTTATCAACAAAGAAGATGAGATACTGTTTCAATAAGCAACAAAAGATTGATCTTGTCTTTTTATACTTTTTTCAAAAGCAAAGCACATTTGAAGACCCTACTCTAAACACACTCAGGAGAAAAGCGGCTCAGACTCAGAGGTGATGGCTTCTTCAAAGCTTCAGCACTAGCAATGCACACATTGACATGACCTCTTTATAGACGGAAAAAAAACAACTCCATATATGGTAAGCTATTTAGCTTACATCTCAGAAGAGGGCATCTCAGACAGGAAACTGAGATGTGGTTGCATTTACAGTAAGCTTTGTCTCCTATCGGCAGATGCAACCATTGTTTACAGCTTGTTTACAGGACAGAATGTTCCTTATACAAAATGTTAGAACTAAAGGTTACAATAAGGATTTTTTTCACTACACTAGTGTCCCTCTTAATTTTTCCCACATGGTTATAATATTTTAACTGCAACTATTCCTTGTAATATTGTTGATATTGATGTAATGTTGGAGCAATATCTCCAGCTCCTAACAAACTCTCCTATTTCACTTAAAAGTGTAGTACAAATAAAAACTTACCTGCACTCTGGCTGTAGTGGCCGAGTCTTTAACCTGATGGGTTTTCATCCTTGTATTCTCATAAGAGAATTTGCCATTTAGTTTGGGCAAAAAAGATATGTCAATATTGATGCTACGAGATGTGGTGCTTTTCTCTTCCAGCCAAGAATCTATAATCTCAGATTTGGTTTCTACACCCGTCTCCTTTTGTGGGATGACAAACACCTCATCTGGGATGAGGTAGAGGCCATCCTCAGTCGTTTGGCACTCGAAGTAGCTGAGGTTCATTACTCGGCCCACATCCATGTTCCGAAGATTGTCCCAGCCACCTCCAGGGAGGACTTCCAGTGCTGTGATGGAAAGGTTGGTGGATGCCCGACATTGTCTGAGCCAGTTTGTTGGACGGTGCCGAGGCCCTGAAGAACAAATTTTAAGAGAAAGTAGAAGAAAAAATAGGGACAGTTCTGTCTTCATGTCTGCATCAGATAGAAGTTCAAGTCAGTACCTGCCTGCTCAACTGTAAGGTATCACATGACAAAGAGACAAAGGAGGGCTGATTTGTTTTTTTCACTCATAGGAGGAAGTTTCAAAGGGAGGTGGTGGGCAAGTCTTAAAAAAATGTAGATATGTCCCCACTAAAAAAACGATCTAAATATACATATTTATTTATAAAATTTATCAGGACAATAAAATATATTGCTATTTATCTTCGAAAAAGATGAGATTCTTTCTCTGTTTTTTCCAAGTTAGAGGGTGGAGCCATAGATATATATCATTGGATAGGATATCATGTGTGCATCCTGGTGCCGTTGGGTCATGTTAGCAAATCATGCTGTTCTCATGTGGAATGAGCGTGAAACTCTCAAAACAAAAACTATTGTGGGATCCTTTTTTTTTCAGATTTTTATAAAAAAAATGGCTGAAATTAAAGATAACAAAATGATAAATTACTTCCTTTAAATATTACAATCCTTGTATTATATTATTCTGTTTTACCATTACTTTAAACACTACTGCAGTAGCNATATATATATATATATATATATATATATATATATATATATATATATATATATATATATATATATATACACACTGCTCAAAAAAATGTGTCCTGGGGTAACTCCTCCCAGATCTGGACCAGGGCATCACTAAGCTCCTAGACAGTCTGATTGCAAACTGGCAGCATCGGATGGATCGAAACATAATGTCCCAGAGGTGTTCTATTGGATTTAGGTCTGGCGAGCGTGGGGGCCAATCAATTCCTTCATCCTCCAGGAGCTGCCTGCATACTCTCGCCACATGAGGCCGGGCATTGTCGTGCACCAGAAGGAACCCAGGACCCACTGCACCAGCATAGGGTCTGACAATGGGTGCAAGGATTTCATCCAGATACCAAATGGCAGTCAGGGTGCCATTGTCTATCCTGTATAAGTCTGTGCATCCCTCCATGGATATGCCTCCCCAGACCATCACTGACCCACCACCAAACCGGTCATGCTGAATAATGTTACCGGCAGCATAACGTTCTCCACGGCTTCTCCAGACCCTTTCACGTCTGTCACATGTGCTCAGGGTGAATCTGCTCTAATCTGTGAAAAGCACAGGGCGCCAGTGGTGGACTTGCCAATTCCAGTGTTCTGTGGCAAATGCCAATCGAGCTCCACGGTGACGGTCAGTGAGTACAGGGCCCACTAGAGGACGTCGGGCCCTCAGGCCACCCTCGTGAAGTCTTTTTTTAATTGTTTGGTCAGGGACATTCACACCAGTGACCTGCTGGAGGTCATTTTGTAGGGCTCTGGCAGTGCTCCTCCTGCTCATCCTTGCACAAAGGAGCAGATAGTGGTCCTGCTGATGGGTTGTAGACCTTCTACGGCCCTGTCCAGCTCTACTGGAGTAACTACCTGTCTTCTGGAATCTCTTGCTGGGAGACACAGCAAACCTTCTAGCAATGGGACATATTGATGTGCCATCCTGGAGGAGTTGGACTGCCTATGCAACCTCTGTAGGGTCCAGGTGAAAAAAAAAAAAAAAAACTGGTGAAAAAGAGTCAGATAAGATGAGGAGGGGAAAAAATGTCAGTGACCTCCACCTGCAAAACCATTCCTGTTTTGATGGTCGTTGTTATGTTTCTTTCCATAACTTAACTATATAAAATGAACAGAATCTCAGTGGAACGTGACTTCGTTTTTTATTCAACATATTTTTCAGAACACAGTGAGATCAATGTGCTGATACCATATTCGGTGTTCTTCCACATAGAACACAAAATAGTACCATTGAATAATATATTGTTATATCACATACATAAGTCGTCTCGTTGTTGCCCCTGTAGTGCACCCCCTCTGCTACTTACCTAACCAAATGAATATCCCAGAAGCTTCATAGAGCTGTATCTGTGCGTGTGTCGTTTCCAGAAAGTCATGTGACCGATCCAGGAGTTGTTTCTAACTGACTCACTAAACTGTTTAAAAACGAATCTGTCAACATGATGCATCTGCTAAAAAAATGTCTCATGTTTTGCTCTTCATTATGAAAATTATCAAAACTTTTGGAGCAGCCTAAAAGGAATAGGAACATTTCTGCTGTTGGGTTTTTAATTACATTTTCACATTGTGTCATCCTTTTTCTCTCAGTTATCTCTCAGCTTATCTGAATTAAAGTAAATTTTAAATTGATACTTAGTTTATTTACTGTTTTTACTGTACTTATTGTTTTAAAATATGATTTAAAATCCTAGTCCACAAGCATCCTTATTCAATTTTTTCCCATAAATTTTCACGTTATGATATATTTATATTATTTATTGGCTGCACCTAAAAACATCAAGGATATTTTCAATTTAAACATAGATATGAAATAATACAATGTAACCTACAATAACTTAAATTCTATCATTGTACAAGGTTATCAAATCAATTTAGTTTAGTCTATCAAATAAGCTGCCTGTAGTGTCTTTAAATGTCCAGCAGGTGTCAGTATTCTGTGAAATAGAATCAACGCAGCATCAATACAGTTTGGCAATGTGTCGACGCTTCAAGATGCCTCATTAACCCATCACTTATATATATAAGTGATTTAAGTCATATATAAAATAATGTTTTAATAACTTTTAAAGCCCATTTTCTTTTAATTAGTTGGAAAATATGTGTTTTATTTTTTTTACATCAAATATAAACCTATAGAGAAAATTCATGCTTCATATTTATGAATAGTTTTATTTTTTTCCTCATCATAAAAGCTAAAAATAAAAATAAACTTTACGTTGTTTAAGATGGCAACAAATTTCCCATGGCAGATATTTAACAAAAAATAATAGGCTATGTTTTTTTTTTTTTAAAGTCATACAATACTTTGCGGCTCTAAATTATTTTTGCTTAGCCGCAAAATGGCTCATTGCATGTAAAAAGTTGCATACCTGTTGCAAGCTCACAAAATGAAAGACAATGTACATTTAAAGACTTTGTTTAAAAATATTTCCAACCATACCTTTATTAGTACCTTTGTAGTTCATTAAATTAGCAGAGAAATTTCCCTTTAAAACAGAGTTACACTAATCACTGTAGAAGCTTAAGAAAAGCTGTAGTCCATTGCTACTGTCATGGCCAAAAGAAAGTTGTCTGTTCCAGCTTTTGATTCTGATTTTTTTTCATTCTGACAAATTCTGATAAAATTCTGTTTTGTACAGCTCTCATGACATAGCCATTTCTTAAAGTGCAGCAGTTTCCAAATGTAAACACTGTGGGAGAAAGAAAACATGGTGCAAAAAAACACATTGATATGGTCAGTTTGATGCAGAGTCTTTGACAAGCTTTAGAGTTTTTTCAACATTCAGCTGTCTAATGGCATCGGGGAAGAAGTTGAACTTCAATTCAAAAATACTTAACTGACCTTAAAGCAAAATTAAATGTATGTAATCACTTCAATAAAATGTGAAAATTACTGATATTACTGTTAAAAAACGAAAGCCTATTT